CCTACCTGTCCACTGATTAATTTGAAGACTTACATTTTACCACAAACATGGTGCTAAGTCCTGTAGGATAAGGCGCCAGCTGATTTGGTTCTTTCTTTGGAGTTGTTTAATCCCAGAAGGAGCACTAATCAAATTTAAAGCTTAAAAATTATTATTTTTATTATTATAATTTATTATATAATTATTAAAGAGTAAAGGGTTGTTGTAGTACCATGATGTTTGGTCATTGTCCTGATAGTTTGGTGGTGGGGCTGATTAAGCACAGTCGAATAGTCTTCCACCAAGAAGAATTATTCATCCTATTCTGAACAGACTTCTGAAGGCAATATCTTACTAGTCAAAAATACACTCACGTGTCTCAGGTAGCATTCCAGCCTACCTCAGAAATACATCTGTATCTGTGATATGTCAAGGAAGAACACAAAGCAACCCTGTGAATTCTGTGAGATGTCCTGATGTGGTACTACCTGTAATGCCAAGAAGATGAGAGCTGTATTACAAGCTTATTTGATTCTACAGCTGTGCAGTAGCTGTGGTTGGTGGTGCAGTGAGAAGTTAGCTGCATGTGAGCTAACTCAGGTTCTTTAACAGGCTAGCCAAAGCACCACACAAAACTCAGTGTAGGTTAATTTACTCTTACTCTGCCAGAAGTTAATACTATATTAATTGACTTGTTATTGTTGTTACAGTGTTGCAGATACCTAAATTAGCTTGTGTAATCTTTTAGTTCTTTAGAGACAGCTAAAATTTCCATTTCCCTGGGCAGGGGAGGTTAGCGGTTTGCTTTTTTGCACAAAGCACCGTTTATGTTGCACATAGGTGAAGAAGGTAAAAGATGCATGGTCATCCAGGTTCCTTGAACATATTGATACAAGTGTAGATGCTAGAACCCGCTGTCCAAAGTTCCTTTTCAGAGCCTTTTATGGCACAAACTTAGACTGGTAAGAAAAGCTAGGAAATAAGTGTTTTCCTTATCCTTCTGGATTCTTCGTAGTGTTTTTCAGGGGGGGCAGCAGGAGGATTAAAACCAAACTCTCATAAGCTGAAAATTTAAAAAGTTACTGACCAGTGAAAACTTTCATGTCTTTTGACAGTTTTGAAGGAAAACAAAAGCAAACCTCGATTTATTCAAACATGGGTTTTGGGATATGTGTTTTGCTGGCTTTCAGGTTTTTTTTAGTCTGTGGTTGTTTTGGTTTGTTTTGGGGTTTTTCCCTGCAATTAGCTAAAATGTCAAAATCAAAAATAGTTCAAATTAGAAGTGGGATTTAGGGTGGGGGTGGTAGGTCAGTCTTAAGTCTGATCCTTTTCCATAATCATAGTTGGTTTAAAACGATTTAAATCCCACTGGGCATTTCCTGGTGAAGCATTCAATCAGATCTGCTTTTGAGGGAACTAGGTGATAAATTATTCTCCTTGTTGTCTCTTTGGATATGAGTATAGATAGTCCCACTCCATATAAATCTGAAAAAAACAAATATGTGGTATGCTACGTTCCATGGAGCTGCATGTGGGATGTGCTTAAGTGCTGTGCATCAAAACTGTGCTGTGATCAGGCCTGAGACAGAACCAGCTGGTTTTCCCCATGCCTTGAGCATGAGTCTGTGCTTGAACCAAGCTTCATCCGGGGGGGTGGGGTGGAATTTCATTCTTTATGTACGTAATCAAAACAGTAAGCCCAGAGACAATAATAATTACAAGACAAATATAACTTTAACCATGTATCTAAAATGAAAACAAATGGGTTTATATATGTATATACACTTCTGTAACAGTACTGAGAACCTCTTGTTCTTGGCACTAAACGTCTATAACATTTGATAGAGCTGCGTGCTTCCCAGACATGATTTTTATTTAAGACACCATCAACCCTCAGGTTTTTTTTTTATTAGTGTAAGAATTAGAAAGTATATCTGAATAAGAGGTATTCTCTAAAATGTTGGAGAAAACAGAAGTGGATAGAACTGCAGTGAATGGTTTTGTGGGTATTCCAAAGCCTATTCTTGATCTCCCTTGTGTCAGAAGAATGCTGCTAAAAAAACAAAAAAGAAATTTGGATCTTATTGCTGGAACTCAGGATCTGCTAGGGAAATAATGCCATGAATTTATCCTGTAGAATCTTTTAATGATTATCACCTGTGAAAAGAAAAAAGGTTAGACGGACCATTAGTCTGCCTTGATACCACAGTTCTTACCAAGAAATACATGGTTTGGCATACATAAAATATAACTTACTAAATACTTGCTTTGATTTTTTCTTTAAAGAATGGAGCAGATGATGTGAAGAGACATAGATGGTTCAGGTCTATAGATTGGGATGCTGTACCTCAAAGGAGACTAAAGGTATATTCTGCAAAATACTGTATAGGATATCACAAGAAATCATTGTTTATTTAAGCTGATCTGTTAAGGTTTTGTTGCCTCTTGTATCTGTGTGTTCATATGTGTGTATGAGCACATGTGTATCTGCACACATCAATAATTATATGCATGTTTGCCCTTTTACACTGCAGAATTAATTATATGAAAGTCTACTTGCATTTTTGTCTGTATACAAAATGTCTAAACAAAAAAAAATCCCTGCTGTGTTTTGCTGAAGTTGATTAGTTAATACAACATTTAATTTTCAGTTTTAGAGTTTTGTAAGTAACTGCTGGTGGTTTTTTGTTTGGGGGGATGGGGGGGGATTGGTGGTTTGTTGGTCTGATTCCCCCCACACACACACCTTGCCCTTGCATCTGTGGAAGTATTTTACTCTGGGCTTGAAATTTTTGAGCCAAGTTCAGGTAAATGCTTTAATAAAATATAAAGCATATGGGAGTATGAGGAATAGGGAAGGTGAGAGATAAGGATTTATGAATGTAATTCTAACATACTTTTTAACGGCACTGAATTCTGGTATTAATGAGGGCAGATGTTTGCAGAAGCTATCAACACTGCAAAATGCTTTTTAAAGTCCTTTGGAAGTGAAACTGCCTTCCTTCTTTCCTTTTTCAAAGTTTTAACTAGTACGATTTCTTACAGCAATGATTTTCAGTAACATAGGCTGCTGTACACAGTCAATCAAGTACCAATTAAATGTTTGGTTTTCCTTTTCTTTGCATTAGTTCCTTACAATGAATTTCTGGCTAGATATCTTAAATTGAGTTCTTGCAAAGTAAATAAGGGATGAAAAAGTTCTTGATGTGTTCTTGTAGACAACATCCTAATACAAAGCTGTAGGTGACTTCTTTCTTTAAAGAAAAAGTTTACCTTGTTTTAAACATGTGGGTTTTGGTTGGGGTTTTTTGGGTTTTTGTTTGGTTTTTTTAAGGATTACTACACCCAGTTTGTTGTTTGACATAGGTCTATTGTAATGAAGTCACATTTTTCAAATTATTTACTGTAAATTCTTGTCACACAAAGAACACAAACTGGATGATAACATGTCTCTTAAATATTTCAACTCGTGAAGTTTATGACAACCTACTGTATTACCAAATAAATAACAAACAAATAATATTAAAAACTGAGTGTTAGTGGTACAAATGAAAAGTCCCAGGTCCAAACATCCTTTGTGTTGCATTTTTATTTAAAAAAAAAGTCACCATGGCATTCAGATTTATTATGAATCCAAAACTTGTTTCTTAATCTTTATGCTGGTTACATTAAGCTTTTAGAAGATGAGATGCTGCTTAATTATACTTCAGAGAAAGGATGTGAATTGGGTCAGAAATTTACTTCGTTATTTCTAGAGGCGGCCATATTCTTCAGAAGTAGTTTTCACAATCTCACTCTATTTCATACTGATGAAGAGATTGAAAATATGAAATAATGGATACAGTGCTCCATTTTTCCCTGTAAAAAGTGTGAATTGGGCTATTGTATAAATAAAGCATTGATTCACAGTCCTGATAAGATCTTAAATATCAGTATTATACAAATAATAGTAACGGCTGAAAGAGATTGACAAAGTTATTTTCTCTAAAATAGAGGATTTTCCTTTCTCTCTTTTTTTATTTTTCTCTTTTTGTGTGTCACTTCACAAAACTGGCTTTCCTGCAAAAATGCTTACAGGGAGATGGGGGTACCAGGCATTGTGCACAGTGGAGCGGATAGCTCTCTGGAGCAGGGCAGATGCTGCACATTTTCTTAAGCATCTGGACAGTATGCTGTGACTGCCACATTGCCAAAGTAGGACTTTGCTTTTGGCTGAAGCTTAGAAGTACCATCCCTCAGGACCGTTTCTTTCCCATTGAAAACCTGCTGATGACATTGTTTCAAGCTGAGAAGCCCCAAAGATCAGATAAGATCTCAGAGCTAGGGGAAGCCAGACTTTTATCTTTTTGAGGAGATACAGAATAACATTTTGCCGTACTTTATAGTTCTCTTTGTGGTATGACTTTATTAGCCAGTTTGGTGATAGTCTGTAAGGTCGTCTTATCCTAAAGTGGTTGGAGTCATGGCGATAGTTAAGGTCTCTGTTACTGAGAAGGGGATAGAGAGATGGATGTCCCTTCAGAGAAGAAAAGGGGTTTGCCCTACATTAACCCCTGCAATTACTGAAATGTTCCAGAAAGGAGCTTTATCTCATAGCCTGTAGACAGAAGGGCAGAGTAATCTCGATGCTAGTTATAAGACAAGGAAAAACTACAGGTACTGTGAAGCTGGTGGGCAATACTAGAAATCCAAAGGATCCTCTGAGGAAAGAAATAGAAAACAGGTATTTCTCTTGGCGCCTCCAAGTTTCCCTAAAAAGGTCCATTTGAATTAAGATGCTTTTACAGACATCCTTGTGAAATGAGTTTCTACAGTGCAGCAGTTTCTTTACCTGCTTGCATTTATTGCTAGGCTAGGAAAAAGCATAGTAGGTAGTGTGAGGCATACACAAGTTAGTCATTTCAACCTCCTTAAAAGCAATCAATCTATTTGAAAGCAATGAAGAGAAGAGGAGGCTTTTTTCCTTCAATTAGAAAGCAGTTACCCACACTGCTATCAGGATTCTTCCTTAGTTGAAAGGAACCTAATGTGATTACACTCCTTTTTGATCATAGGCCACAGAAGAGAGGAGGAGTGAGGAAGGAGAGTGGCAGATTACGCTGTAACGGCACGTGCCTGGAAGCTTAGTTGTAGTAATCTTTTGCAGTAGTTACCTTCAGTCTGCGAAGCAGCTAGAACTTGAGTGCTAAATAAAATAGGTATCTGTATTATAAGTGTCCTTTAACCACAATATTTAACTGCAGTACAGACAAAGTGTTGGAACATGTCTGTGTCGCTGCAAGCATATCTCTGTCGTGCCATTCATTATTGGTGAAAAAGGTGAACTTTTATAAATACGTATTCCTTTTGTTTAATCAGCCTTTTACAGGATTTCTGCTTTAATATGATGGAGAGGAGCTCATTGAGAAAACTGTACTAACATTTTTGTTGTGCTTGTTCTGACTAGCCTCCCATAGTACCGAAAGTATCCAATGATGGGGATACTTCCAATTTTGAAGCTTATCCTGAAGATGACTGGAACAAGACGCCTCCAGTACCGCCTAAAGATCTAGAAATTTTCAAGAACTTCTGAATGAGACATCTACACTCAACAAGGTATGTCCAAATGTCAGGAGTCCTCTTCAAAACATTGCAGGTCTGTGAAAGAGAGCCGTATGCAGAAATTGCATCTTCTGACTCATAACAGTGATTAGTACTTCCTTACAGCTTGTAAAACCAACATGAATCACAGTAATAGATAGTATAATCAAACTGTTGAAATAAAATATTGTAAAGCAGGCTTACAGAATGACAAAGATAGTTTATCTCACAGGCTTTGGTGTTCTACAGTGATGAAGAGTTTTTCTGCATACAGCTATTTAAGTCCTTCTGCCCTTGAAACTTCTTAAATAGTGTGTTAAAAGCAAATATCTAGATTGATTTAACAGATAAGGAAATGTGATTTCCTGATCACAAGACTTTTAGATTCAGAATGAAGACTTTTGTTAGAGGAATAAGATTGTCAGATTAATTCTGTACTCTGGATTCTGTCTTATAACTGTGATAAGTTGGTACTTGTTATTCAATTCACATGCTCCACACTGTATTTTGTATTCTTTTTCCATTATGTTTTGTCGTAGAAACTGGAAGGAAAATGACGTGCTAAGAGCAAGTCTGAAGAAAAATGGAGTTCATACGTAAATGAAGACTTTCTTTGTGGATAAGAATGATACTGCATTCAGATATGCGTATTAGTAGATAGTAAATATCTAAAGAGTTGGAGGCAGGCAAGAATAACTTTTTGCTGTAAACATTTGACATTAGTTCAGTAGATTGTAATATTGATAGTCTACTCTGAAGTAGACTCACTAAAATTATATATTTTAGGATTTTTTTTAACTTATGGTTTAGTTAAGTTTCCTGCTATTCCCAGATCCTTTTTGCATAGTTAACTCATAGACTTAACTTTATAAGTTCATACTAAACTTGTGTAATTAAAAGCACAAATTAGTATATATGTATATAATGAATACAATACAACTAAAGCACAGGAACTGTGCAAAGATGTAAATTTTTGTACTTTGCAGAGTCTATGATTTTTATTTTTCAAATAATGTTTTTCAAGAAGTTCACTAGGAATAAAAATCTTAAAAGGATAAATGAGCTTTTCATCATCTTATATACATTTTATAATTCTTTGTAAAAAATAAAAATAATTAAGTTTTTAAAAAGATTTTTACCTAAAATTTCCAATGCCTCACACTTGCAACCGTAGTACTTGAAAGCAGAAAGACAAGGCATGTTTTATTGTTGATTAAGATGCATCTTAATGGCTTAATATTTATGAATTTGTTACAGTGATGTCTCTTTACAAACCAGGATATTGAGTGATTATACACTGTCTGAAATGAGATTCCTCACATGAAGACTCTCTGTAAACATGCAATTCAGTGCATGCTGATGAAAGGGCTCTAACTGGCTCTTACAGGAGTTGTTCTCTCTCAAGCTTGCTGTCTTCTCCAAATGTAAAGCATGAGCCATAACACACTTTTTTCATTATTGAAATAGTTGTTGTTGAGTGCTTGGCACTTCAGAATATCAGAGGGAAGACTGAATATATATTAGAGCCTGATTTTTCTGCTCCTGCTTTTGGAAATGTCCTAAAGTCTCTGCTGCCAGGAATTCCATATGTACAGAGTTCAAACCTTAGACGTAAGGAGTCTCTTTTTTCATCCTGTACTAACATCTTTCTAGCAGCTTGAATACACTGTATTTAGTACGTATTTGCCATACTGCTTCATTTTAAGTAGCACCAAATATCAGTATGTGCATATGTATGTATCTATGTATATGAATACACCTAAACATGAAGGTAGATTGTATACAAGTCAGGATCTTTTTTTAGGGTTTTTTTTCATGTTCCATGTTGTGATACTTGTGTTAATATAGGGGAATTGATTTTTGAAGTGCTTCGATTTCAAAAAGTAAATACATTCTTTCTGATGTTGGGGTTTTAGATAACTTTTAGTGAAATTATGATATTTAGACCAAAAATATTTTCTTTCGAAAGCACATCAGCTCACTGGAGTTGCGCTACTATGACTGATGGCTCTACATAAAACTGTTTAAGTATATCACGCAGACAGTTTTTCCCACAGACTGCTCTCCACATTTTTGATCTGAAATGCCATAAGAAATGTAGGCCAAAGATTAATTTCTCTGAATTAAATCCTGAATGTTTATGAAGTAGGCATTCTAGAAATAGCTAATGAAATTACCATGTTTATAATTTTATGATAGATCTGCAGCTGGAGTCTCCTTGAGGAAAAGTGACCTCCATTTTCTTTTGTTTAGCTCTAAACAGTACAGAAGTGCTGTTGAGAACTTGCAATTTCTAGGGTATTAGATCTATTTCTTCAGAAAGAAAAATCTAAGAGATTGCATAACTTTTTGCAAAAATGCACAATGTGTGACAAAATCAGGGTATTTCAGAGTGGTGATTCTGGAATATCACAAAGTCGTCTTGACGTTATACAGGTGCCACAAGTTGATGGCCCCAGCTGCCACTCAGTAAATACTGTGTAGGAATGTATAATGGAATACAGGAAAATCTGTAGAAAATGATCATTTTAACCTGGTAAAAATACCTTATTCTCTTGAAAAAATTAATCTGGTCCACTGTATTTTTATCTGTGGAATTAGTTATTCCAAACCAATTGGAAAAACTGAAGCACATAAAGCACAGCTTACTTTGTTTAAGGGGAGCAAGCACAGTTCAGGGTTTTTTTTAATGTGTAAGCTTACAGTATTTTATGGAATCTGAGTACTACAAAAACAGTTTCTTATTTAAAAATGTACATATTGCAACAAGCAAGTGTGCTAAATATAATTTTTTTTTTTTTTAAATTTAAAAACTGCACTGTGTTTAAGTCTTCAAAGCTGAGGAAATGAAGTTGCATTTGACTAATGTGCCACATTGGTGGTTAGAAGTTTTGAATGCTTGAAAAACAGGAGATGGTGGATTTTCTTTTTATGAATCTTATCCATTGCTGGCAGTGGATGCACTGACACTCATTATGATAGAGACTAAAGAAACAAATACAATCTTATTAATAATGCTAATCCATTGACTTAATATTGTTTCCAGAGCCATGTGTACATATGCCTAACTACTGACCTCGTCAGCATGCTTTCTAGTACAAAACTACTGTCAAATTTTTTTAATTAAAATCCTTAACTGAAAAAAAAAAAACAACCCACAACCCAAAGCATTTTTGAAGCATTATTTTAAGTGATCGGTTACTTTCTCTACAGTCTTGGACTTAATGAGCTGTTATTACCTGCCCACTTTATTTATTTGCACAAGTGAGTTTGTTTTATTTTAAGTCTTTGCTGGACTTCATGGCCCACTAACGTAGTTCTGTCCGAGTGCTCACGTGGAAGTCCCCAGATACACACTGCACTAAGGACTCTGGATTTATGGGGGGGTTTTTTAGCAGACTAGAACACTTTTTTATTTTCTGTTCAAGTATGGTATTCTCTGAAGTCCATTTTATTATGGTTGCCTCTGTTAACAAGTGTTTTTGCATATAGACTGTTGCATAAGGACTGTTTTCTTGCAAGAGCCCATAGGCCTTTAGTATTCTGCTTCGGTGAACAAGAATGTTAAACATTAAAAAACAACCTTTATTTTTGAGTTTTTTATATATATATATTTTTAATTGCCCAATTTGAGGTTTTAAGTGATAAACGTGCATTGTAAACTCAATTGCCTTGTAACCAAATGATATAAATGCTTCATGATTTCAATGGAGAACATGCTGTAGATTTTCCTGTAAATTAGCTTGATCAATGAATATGTGTGCTACTGAGCTTTAACTAATGTGATCTTCCACTGTAGAAAGTCATTGTTAATTGATCAAAATATAGGTACTAAACTATGTTTAAATGGATGAACAGGGATTTTGCAGTTTTGAAAGCAATTAAGATATGGCTGTTCCTCAGCCCATCTGCTTGCCATTCAGAAGAGTTGTGACGCAGTGCTTCCTATGCTATAGAATTATTTTTCAGCTTTCAATGACTGTAGCATGATTCCTTTTTGTACTGTACTGTGTACAGACTTTCCATGTTTTGCACTTTTCTATGGCAAACCTTGACTGCTTTATAAACACTCTGTTGTGTAGTAAGTAGTGATAGTGGTAGCAGGCATTTGTGTACTGCATAATTGGCTTGAACTGCTAGACTGCGAGGTTAACTTGGACTAATGTTGTATGTTGCTGGTTGCTTGTTGTAGCTCACATGTATAAGTACTGTTCAAAGTTACAAAGTCAGCCCTCATTGCACAATGAAAATCACTGTGATCTGTACATAAACCTTAGTAAAATTTTATTGCTGTTTAATTTATGTAATATCTGTCAAATCTGGATTCATTTAATAAACCTTTATATCTTTTTAAATGTTTAAACCTAGTTTGCTTCCATTTATATTGGGAGGAGGTAGAGGTTCTTCATCCAAAAAAATTATGAAGGGGAGAGCAGAGGAGTAGAAAAATGACTGTTCCTTCTTTTCAGGAGTTAAGTCTTTCCAGGGCAAGACACAAGTGGTGGAACGTATTTCAGTTGGCGTGGAAGAAGCACCAAAAAGTATATCTTCAAATTCATTTCAGATAGTGCACCGATAATGAAGTGTTAGTTCAGACTTCTCATTAAACTTTGATTATATGACCCTAATTGCTTCGACATTTTCACAACTTAATGACCTGAACGCTGTCCAGCACACTCATTTCAGTCTCTCTCTTTAAGCATCAAAAAATAGAATCATAGAATAGAATCATAGAATCATTAAGGTTGGAAGAGACCTCTAAGATCATCGAGTCCAACCATCAACCCAACACCACCATGCCTACTAAACCATGTCCCTAAGCGCCTCATCTACCCGTCTTTTAAATATCTCCAGGGATGGTGACTCAACCACTTCCCTGGGCAGCCTGTTCCAATGTTTAACCACTCTTTCAGTAAAGACATTTTTCCTCACATCCAATCTAAACCTCCCCTGGTGCAACTTGAGGCCATTTCCTCTCGTCCTTTCGCCAATTACTTGGGAGAAGAGACTGACCCCCACCTCGCTACAACCTCCTTTCAGGTAGTTGTAGAGAGCAATGAGGTCTCCCCTCAGCCTCCTTTTCTCCAGGCTAAACAACCCCAGTTCCCTCAGCCGCTCCTCATAAGACTTGTTCTCCAGACCCCTCACCAGCCTCGTTGCCCTTCTCTGCACACGCTCCAGCACCTCAACGTCCTTCTTGTAGTGAGGGGCCCAAAACTGAACACAGTATTCGAGGTGCGGCCTCACCAGTGCCGAGTACAGGGGCACGATCACTTCCCTACTCCTGCTGGCCACACTAGTTCTGATACAGGCCAGGATGCCGTTGGCCTTCCTGGCCGCCTGGGCACACTGCCGGCTCATGTTCAGCCGGCTGTCGACCAACCCCCCCAGGTCCTTTTCCGCCAGGCAGCTTTCCAGCCACTCTTCCCCAAGCCTGTAGCGCTGCATTGGGTTGTTGTGGCCAAAGTGCAGGACCCCAATATTCTTATGATGTCAGGCACACATAAATCAACCTTTATTTCATCTTCTATCTAGAACTTCGAAAGTCCATTTTTAACAAAATTTGATTAGCTGTT